TTGAGCTGGCACCTGGCACTGGTTTCTAATCATCAGTCTCTGCTCCTCTGGTGAGCTGCGACTCTATTTGCCTGTTTGACTCTCCAATCTCAGGGCAGTAGTTTGCTCTATGTCCTCCCCTTTCTTATGGATCCAAGAAGAGTTGTAGGTTTTTTAGTCTGTTCGGCTTTTTACTTGTTGTTAGAATGGAGTAGTGACTTCCAAACTCCATACATGTGGAACTGGAAATCAGAAGTCCTTCCTATAGATTTTAGAATTCCATTTGGATTTTCCTTATAGTTTTTATTTTCTTTTACTTTTTTTTCTAAAGCTTATTTATTTTGAGAGAGAGAACATGAGCAAGGGAGGGAGAGAATCCCAAGCAGGCTCCAAGCTGTCAGCACAGAGCCTGACACGGGGCTCGATCTCACTAACTGTGAGATCATGACCTGAGCTCATATCAAGAGTGGGACACTGGGGTGCCCGGGTGGCTCAGTTGGTTGGGTGTCTGACTCTTGATTTCGGCTCAGGTCATGATCTCATGGTTCGTGAGCCGGAACCCTGCATCAGGCTCTGCACTGGCAGCATGGAGCCTGTTTGGGATTCTCTCTCCTCCTCTCTCGCTGCCCCTCCCCCCCACTCATGTTGTCTCTGTCTCTCAAAACAGACAATACACACGTGTCCTCAACATACTCATGAGATTTTTGTATCAGAAGTAGTTGTCATATTACAGTTGACCCTTGAACAATGCAACCTCTTGTGGGGTGCCAACCCCTTGTACAGTTGAAAAGTCTGCATAAAACTTTTGACTCCCCAAAACTGAACTGCTAATAGCCTACTGCTGACTGGAAGCCTTACTAATAACCAGGAGCTTTACTGACAACATCAAGAGTCAATTAACACATATTTTGTATGTTACATGTATTCCTATAATAAAGCATACTAAAGAAAATATTGAGAAAATCACATGGAAGAGAAAATAGATTTACAGTACTGTATGTATACTTATGAAAAGAAATGATGTTTAGGGAGCCAGGACAGGAGCTGTGGGCCTGGCGCAGGGATGGGGATGTTCAGCAGCCTGGTGGCCACAGCTTAGGAGCAGCAGCAGCTGCCAGGCAGGACTTCGGAGGGCAAGAGCAGCCTGCAAGTACCGTACAGCTGCCCCATTTGCCTGGGGGTGTACCACCAGCCCATGGCCATCAGCAGCTGTGACCACATGTGAGCATGCCAGCCTCCAGGAGGTGACAGGGCAGGGCCCCACCAGGGGGGAGACCCACCACCAAGAGTCTATTCCTGGCCAGGAGGGTCCCAGGCCCTCCAGCTATCCCTGCACAGCCCCAAAGCTGGGGGCAGAGGACCGGGAGCCTGGGTGCTGGGGCCACCAGCGGTCCTTGCTCTCTGGATATGTTCCTATACTTTAGCCCCAACATCTGCCTGCCAGCCCTGCTCGGATACTCAGAGGGCAGCAGGTAAGACTTCTGTGCTTGTTGCCTTAGATTCATTCTTGTGGAGACTGGGCTGGGCAGTTGTAAATCAATGCCATGTGGCTTTTACTGTCAACTCAAGAAAAATAAAAAAGGTAATAGTCCACCTGTAAATGGACCCACGCAGTTCAATCCCATCTAGTACCTGTATTTACCTTACTTACATGCTTCTCCTGTGTCCCTGAAATGATGCAATGAAAGCTAGGTCGAATGCAAAGACACAGTCTATATTTTAAGCGATGAACACAGAACTTAGGTCATTTATGTACAAGAGAAAGAGGCCTCCTTCTCCCTTTTTCAGAGAGTCTCCTTGGACATGTCTTACTCTAACCCTTTGAAATAAAACCTCCAGAGTCCAAATAAAGCTCAACGGTCAGCTTTTAAAATGTACAAATGTCTGTGCGTCCTTGGTTTCATTCCTTTTGAAATTTCAAAAGCCGTTGCCTAGGAAGATCATGTTGTAACCTAGGTGTCCATCCTAGAACATAATCTTTTTTTTTCTCTTGGAGAGATAAGAAAAGGCTACTGGATGGGAATAGTTAGCTCTGCCATCAGGGAAACAAATGATTGCAGATCTAATCCTAATGATGTGTGCAAAGTAACATGTTTTGGGAGGTGGGGAGTGAAAAAAAAAATCCTCTGTTGAATATTAATTTCTAATCTCCGGAGTCTGAGGCTCTGATAGGAACACTGAGAAATCAAGGGGACACTAATTTTCCCTTATTTCTCTTGCCTCCCTTTTCCCCTCCCCCATTTACATTACAATTGTCTTAGCTGGTCCACAACGAGGACCACATCAGAAAATGCAGTAATTTTTGTTTCAACCAAACATAATTTAGAAAAGTCAAGGGGAAAAAAAAAAAAAGAAAATCTATTATATATTTACTCCTTTTCTGTCCTTCTTGCTGAGGTTCTAAGATTCTTTCGTGTTTTGGTAATGGCTCACCTACATCCAATTCGCGCATTTCAAGTGTACGACTCAGTATTTTTCACATATTCGCAGAGGTGTGCCACCTTCACAGTCATCAGTTTTAGAACATTTTCATCACCCCAAAAAGAAACCCCATACTCTTTAGCTCTCACCCTCCACGTCGTGGGCAACCACAAAACTACTTTCTCTCTGGGCAGATTTGCCTATTTTGGAGATTTCATATAAATGGAATCTTGAAATATATAATGTTTTCTGACTGGCTTCTTTCGCTTAGCATAATATTTTCTAGGTTCATCCCTGTTGTAGCACGTGTCAGTACTTCATTCCTTTATATTCCCAGGCAATATTAATAACATTCCATTGGGTGGATATGCCATATTCGATTTACCTATTCATCAGTTAATGGACATTCGGGTTGTTTCCACTTTTCGGCTATTACGAGCAACGCTGCCAGCAACATTTACGTACAAATTTCTGTGGGAAGTAGGCTTTCATTTTTCTTGGGGACAGGACTACGTGTGAAACTGCTGGCTCACACGGTAACTCGAGGTTTAAATCTTTAAGGACGTGCCTAAAGGTCTTCCAAAGCAGCAGTACCATTCTACATTCCCACCAGCACTATGAGGGCTCCCATTTCCACACATCCTCACCAACACCTGTTATTGTCCGTCTTTTCCATAATAACCATCCTAGTGAGTGTGGAGTAGATCTCATTGTGGCTTGGCTTCACATTTTTCTGGTGACCAATGGTGCGCGCATTCTTTAGCTCTGGTTATTGGTCATTGTTTTATCTTCTTTGGCGAAATATCTATGCAGATACTCTGCCCATTCTTAACTTTTTTTCCCCCAACTGATTGACTTGGTAGAGTTCTTTATTATAGATGCAAGACCCTTATCATATACCTGATTTGAGAAACCCTTCTCTATTATGTGGGCTGTCTTTTCACTTTATGGCATTTTTTGAAGTACAAATGTTTAAAATTTTTACGAGATCCAAATTATCCATTTTTTCTTTGGTTCTTGTGCTTAGGGTGTTCTATTTAAGGAAGCACTGCCAAATCCAAGGTCACAAAGATGTGCTCCCATGTTTTCTTCTAAGAGTTTTATAGTTTCAGCTGTCACATTTAGGTCTTCTATCTTTCTTAATGTTTGTGTATAATATGTTAGGGGTTAAGATTCCTTCCTTTATCATTTCCTTTGTTAAGAATTTCCTTTAGCCATTCTTTCAAAATAGCTCTACTGGCAATGACTGTTTTAGTTTTACTTTTTTTTTTTTAAGTTTATATGTAGTTTAAGTATATATAGAGAGAACAAGAACCAGCAGGGGAGGGGCAGAGAGAGATGGGGACGGAGGATCCAAAGCAGGCTCTGTGCTGACAGCAGAGTGCCCAATGCAGGGCTCGAACTCACTGTGAGATCATGAACTGAGCCAAAGACGGACCCTTAACCAACTGAGCCACCCAGGTGCCTCTGTTTTAGTTTTTCTTCATTTGAGAAGGTCTTGATTTGCCCTCCATTCCTCAAGGACGTTTTCATGGAATATAAAATTGTGCATTGACAGACCTTTTCTTTCAGCTCTTGAAAAATGTTGTGCCACTTCCTCTGGCTTTTATAATTTCTTATGAGGAATCTACCATAATTTGGATTATTTTTCCTTTACAGGTAAGATGTCATTTTTCTTATTGCTAAGATACTTTTTGTCTTTCCTTTGCAGAATTTTTATTCTGTATCTCAGTGTGGCTTTCTTGGGCTGATCCTGTTGGGGATTTGTTCAGCTTCTTGAGTCTGTTGGCTTGTAACTTTTGTCAAATTTGGGACATTTTCAGCCATTATTTTTTTGAACACTTTCTCAGCCGCACACTTTTCTTCTCATCTCCTCCTGAGGCTTCAGTAATACAAATATTAAATCCCACCACTCCCTGTGGCTCTGTTTTTTTTTTTTTTTTAAACTGTTTCTTCTCTATAGCTCAGATTGGGTAATTTTCTATTTTTTTATTGCTTACATGGTTTTTACTTTTTTATATGGATATATAATTTATGATGATCTAGGTTTTATATTTAAGGTTATATAACTTATATGTATATTATAGTAATTATTATTGTTATTTGCCTATAAACCTCGGGACCCCCTCCATCCCACTCAAATAATAAATGTGAGCATTAGACACCCACTGCCCATTCAGGCCACTTGTATCACCTCTAAAAAGCTTCACCCTCCCACCTGGTCCCACCTGCCCTCACCCTCCCACCTGCTCCCACACCTGCTCAAACTCGGAAACCACGCCAAAGCAATTTTGCCACAACCATGTTAACGAGATGACCCCTTAACCTGGCATCTCAGAGCAAGAAGCTATGTACAGGACAGCACCAAGGGACAACTGGTCAACCAGACATTTTGACACCTCTATCCAACCCCTTCAGAACGGAGTGTGGTTCATGCCACCTACCAAGCAAGCAAAAATCTTCAAAACTGCTCCTGACCCAACAGAGTCACATGGGACTGCAGCTGTCCCGGGGACCCAGCAAGGACTGAGGGACAGGTTCTGTACCAACAAGTGCAAGGGTAGTAACATCCAAGGCCCCACTTGAGGAGAGAATCTCACCTGTGGGTCGTGGGGGCCTCTTTCGCCTTCCAGGATGCCCAGGGCCCCCGGAGGCCAAAGCCCCAGGATACCAGCACAAGCCCCAGGGGCTCCAGGGGCTCCAGGGGCTCCAGGCTTACATCGGCAAGGTCAAAGGCAGGAGCAAACTGAACGCGCAGAGGAACCAAAGGCGAGTCCACTTGATAACATCCGGTGCTGCCAGATTTGGCCACCTCCCACCAGCCAACCGTAGCCAATCTCCTCCTTCTCTACGGAACAAGCTGGTTCCCGAGGGAAAAAACAGCCCTTAACTCCCAGAACTCAGTCCATACTAATGAATACACCAGTAACAGCTGGTCCTCAGATGCCTTGGGATATCTGTCCCGAGCACTGCTATCCAGAAAGAGCTAGGGCTTAGTCACTGTAGTGCACTTTACAAAGGTTTTAGAAAAAAAGCATGGCCTGGGCTGAAGTCTGACGCTCAACTGACTGAGCCACCCAGGCACCCTGTAATATTTTAGCTTTAAAGTTTCCATTTGGGTCTTCTTTAAGTCTTCGATGTCTTTGGTGGGACTTCCTATTTATTTGCTGAGAATTTTTAGATTGTTCGTTTGTTTCAAGCATGTTCATAATTGCCATTGTAGTAACAGCTGCTCTAACGTGCTCGTCAGATCTTTCCAAAATCTGCGTTGTGGAAGGGCTGCTATCTGTTAATTATCTTTTCTCATTCAAGGTATGAGTGGTTTTCATTTCAGCCATTTTGGGTTATGAGCCTCTGGATCTTAATTAAATTTTCTGTTTCACACGCGGCCTCTGTCCGTGTGCGAGGGGTGGGGAGAGGAGGCGAGCGCCATCTGCTGCCGACAGAGAAGGATAGAAGTTTCCTCCTTCCGCCTCCCTTGACGCGGGGGGAGGGGGGAAGGGCACAGGTGTGGGCGGGGTGGAAGTGTAGGCTCCTCACTAGGGTTTCCTTAACCTGGGGGTTGGGGCCCCTTGTTACCGTGGGGCAAGGATAGAAATCTGGACTCTAGACTCCCCATTTGGACACACGGGCTGGTGGCAGCCAGTTTTCCTGTGGTGTTTGCCTGGAGGAGAAGAGGTTGTTGTTGTTGTTTGAGAGAGAGAAGACAGAGAAAGCAGGAGCAGGGGAGGGGCGGAGAGCGAGGGGGACAGAGGATACGAAGCGGGCTCTGCGCTGACAGTGAGCCCCATGCAGGCCTCGAACTCACACCACCAGAGCCGAAGTCAAACGCTTAACCGACCCAGGTGCCCCAGCAGTTGTTTGTTTTCCGTCTTGCAGGCTGCCTCTTTCCTGGTCCTTCAGCTGGAGGGAGCAGCCTTTCCTTGAGGCTTTTTTTGGTCCGCGCCCGCTGGCCTACGTGCGACTCCGGGTTTTAGGCTTCTCTCACACCCGTTCTAGAGGCGTATAAAGCAAAAACAATAACAAAAAGAAAAAGCAGAATTCAACATCATCCCCCTCCTGAGATCCTGAGTCTCTAGCTGCCCTGCCTTCTCTCCCCCTTTTAGTGGTTTCTCATTTGAGTTTTATGTTTAATGCCCGATGTTCTTAGGGTGTACTTAGCAGGCCACATGGGGAGACGTGTGTTTATTGTTTCATCTGGAACCAGAAACCCCATTTTCCGTTAACATTTTTAAACGTTTTGCTGCTTCTGAAGGTGGGACGTGTGAACACGTAATACCGAGCCTCCTTCTACGAACCACAACAGCACACGTATTGCTGTGCTCGGTTTACAAAGGGGCTTTACCGTTACCCTCTGTAGCGGTTTTCTAAGGCTGCTGTGACAGATTACCAAAACCTTGGTGGTTTAAAACAACACAGATGTGGGGCGCCTGGGTGGCTCAGTCGGTTGGGCGGCCGACTTTGGCTCAGGTCATGATCTCGAGGTCCGTGAGTTCGAGCCCCGCGTCGGGCTCTATGCTGCCCGCTCAGAGCCTGGAGCCTGTTTCAGATTCTGTGTCTCCCTCTCTCTGACCCTCCCCCATTCATGCTCTGTCTCTCCATGTCTCAAAAATAAATAAAACGTTAAAAAAAATTAAAAAAAAACAACACAGATGTATTATCCTGCAGTTCCATCAGCTGGAAGTCTGACATGCGCTAAAATTAGTGTGTTCCTTTCTGTCGTATTTAAGAGAGAATCTGTCCCCGGCCTTTCTCCACCTTCCAGAGGCAGCCCACATTCCCTGGCTCACGGCCTCCTTCCTCTGTCTTCGAAGCCATAGCAGGTCAATTTCTCATAGTTGATGATTCTGACTCCTCTTCTGCCTCCCTTTTACTTAAGGATTCTTGTGACTGTAGTGGGTCCACCTGGATAATACAGGGTAAGCTACCTGTGTGAATGTCAGCTGATTAGCAACCCTAATTCCGTCTGAAACAATCTTAATTCCGATTTACCACGAAACCTAACATACTCACGGGTTCCTGGAATTAGCATAGGGACATCATGGAGGGCCATGATTCTGCCTCCCCCACCATCTGACTTCATGCAGGCGACGAGCACCCTGACCCCAGGGGCTACCACTTCTAGTGAGAATTACAAGGAGTCCCCACCAGAACTCTGGAAAGCCACCACCACTACTGTTGTAACCCTTTACAGAGAGAAAAATTGAGGTCCCAGAAGATTAGGTATTTTGTCCTGGGTCACAAGACTCTTGCTTATGGGGTGTCTCAGAGCAGGATCAAGACTGCAAGGTCAGATGTCAAAAGCAGGCATATTTCCAGTCAGAGGAGCCCCCCTGTGTGTCAACAGCCTCTTCTGTACCAGAAAAAGCCCATTTTTAGAGCCAGACAGGGCTAGATTCAAATGTGGCCATGAAAAATCAAAAAGACCCCTGCCTTCTGGAACCTGTGGGGATAGTCTAGCCATGCCTAAGACAGCTCACAGCTAGGGTCACAGTCTCAGGTCTCCCTGTCCTCTGCATCCCAGAAAGAGGGTGGTCATGGTGGGGGATGGTAGTAGGATGGGGTGCCGCAGCGACCTCTCCCCGCCTCTCCCAGGGTCCCGGGTCCTAGAGACTAGCCCAGGATGTGATGTGCCCCTTGCTCGCGGCAGGGCTGCATGCAGGCTGGCTCTGTGCTCAGTAAGAGAAAGGGCACCCAGGGGAGGCAACTCTAACTCAGCCACCCTTCCAGGGCCACATGCCCACCTCAGATCATGCCAGCTTTTAGGGGCCCAAGTGATAACTGCACATGGATGAAAGCCCACAGCCCGGGACAACTTGTGTAGCAGGCACCGGCCAGGTACCTTGGCTCCATGATCCCTCTTCCCTTCATCTGGGCTCCCCTCTGCTGGTCTCTGCAAGGTCCGGGAGGTACCCGGTGGGTCCCAGGGGCTTAGACACCCCAGGAGAACCTCCCCTTGCAATGGAGCCCTTGTCCCGCGCCCCCCCCCCCCCCGAGTTGTCTTTGGAGGAAGCCTAAAGCAGACTGGTTGACTCTGGTGGACCACTTCCAGCAAAAAATAAACCTATGACATTAATAGATATAAAATGAGCATGTGTTAAACATTGTATTTAGCTCATTATTAATGAAGAAACCTGGAGGATGTTACAATCAATTCAAAAGAGAATCCAAAGAACAGACACATTTGTATACGTCAGGAATATCAGGGGCGCCTGGGTGGCTGGGTCAGTTAAGGCATCCGACTTCAGCTCAGGTCATGATCTCGTGGTTTGTGGATTCGAGCCCCACGTTGGGCTCTGTGCTGACAGCTCAGAGCCTGGAGCCTGCTTTGGATTCTGTGTCTCCCTCTCTCTGCCTCTCCCCCCACTCGACTCTGTCTCTCTCTCTCAAAAATAAATAAACATTAAAAAATTTTTTTAAATACATCAGGTATATTAAATGAACTTGGATCCAAAACTGGCTTTCCACAGGGGAGAAGGATTGTCTTTACAGCAGAGAGAATTCATTTGCATTGCTGTGGACAAAAATTATTTTGCACTATCAGTCATGCACAACTTATAATTATGTTCTAAATTTATTTATTTACTTACTTATTTATTATTTGTTTATTTTGAGAGAGAGCAAGAGAACAAGTGGGTGAAGGGCAGGGAGAATGGGAAGGAGAGAATCCCAAGCAGGCTTATGCTGTCAGCAGAGGACCTGATGTAGGGCTCCATCTTATGAACCGCAAGATCATGACCTGAGCCGAAATCAAGAGTCAGATGCTTAACTGACTCAGCCACCCAGGCACTTCTACAATTTATAACTATAAAACAGCACTTTGGCAATAAAAGGCCAGAATCAGATAACCCCAAGGGTGTGATCTAAACAATTCATAATTTCCATTAAAACATATGTCTCCCCCTACATTTGAGAACCCCCAGCTGAAAGGACCCAAAAGAATTTGGTCACACCACAGCCTGGCCTGCTGGGGACATCTCAGGGAGGCCCAGGGCTCCTAGTTAACCCTGGACACCCCAGCCCCATCACTCTTCCCGAGGACTGGAAGAGGTCCAGGCAGCCCCTGCCGTCGCCAACCGCACTCCGCCCCCCCCCCCCCACCGGAGTACTGCATGTTGCTTGTTACTTTGACAAAAACTTTGGATTTCTGTGCTTGGATTATTTTGGCTCATAGTAACCCACCTATGAATGTTTCTGAACCCACTGGGAATACATGATTTACGTGATGGGAGTCTGAAATAATTTACCTCTAAAAGGAATGAATTTGCCAGGGAATACCAGCTTTCATTACGGACAGATATTGCCAGACATTGGATTCTAGTCACTTCTTTAGAGCTAACATCTACTGAAATGACTAGAATGGCTTCTAAAATGTCAAGAAGTGATGGTTTTACAGGTCTGCACCTATTTTTAGCAGCGGAAAGCGAGGCACCTGTGCTGCCGGGGGAGGAGCTGTGCAGCCCACAGGAGCCGCAGCCACCTGTGACCTCTGCCCCCAAGTTCCAGCCCACGGTGTGATATTGTGTTCGCCTTTTCTCAGTCTGACCTGACGCCCCTCGGCACTGACTGAGGTGGGCAGGTGCTGGGGAATGAGGGCCCGGGTACAGTCCGTGTGCAGAAATGGTCATCTGTGAGCCACAGGAGGGCAAGCAGATGGGACAGGTCATTCCAGGATCAAATAATGTACCCCCAAGAGCAGCGAGAACTTCTCAGAGCAGAAAGCGTGTCCAAAAAGCAACCACGAAGTGTCTGCTACACAGTCATTCCTCAAGAATTGTGTTTAGGGGCACCCGGGTGGCTCAGTTGGTTAAGAATCCGACTCTTGATTTTGGTTCAGGTCATGATCTCACCGTTTGTGAGATGAAGCCCCACCTCGGAGTCTGCTTGGGAGTCTCTCTCTCTCTCCCTCTCTCTCTGCCCCTCCCCAGCTTGAGAGTGTGCATGTGTTCTCTCTCTCTCTCCTT